CAACAATGTGAGGCAAAATGTATGAAGGTCAACAGTAACTAACCAAGCATGTAGTCTTTTTAAGAAGGCAATGTTGGTATTGCTAGACAGACACTTTAACAAATGTAGCCACTCCCTTACAGCTATGCTCTTGAAAGGGACAGTCTAAGGCTTGGCAACCTTGGAAAAGTCTCTTCATAAAATTACATTGCATTGCATCATCAACAATTGCGCACATGATACAGGGTTTTCTGAGCAGTGTATTGGGGCTTGAATAGGATTGTTTTAATGTTGTCAAATGACTTAAAGAGCAACTTGCAGGTTAGAGACCCCAGTGAATAAATGTGTAGGAAAATGATGTATACACTAGATTTTCAAAAAAATATACAGAAATATACACTACAGTGACATCTGGCGTCGTATTTGTAAGACATTTTTACTTCCGCATAAAAAAAGACCACCCGCATGTGACGTCACATCAGGGAGAGCGTATGAACAAACGTATGAATAAACATGGTTCACAATGCTAGTTTTGACACAGAAGAGGTTGAAAATGTATATTCGTATGCATATGACGGACCACAACCTTATAATTATGAGCCTGCTAGGCGTCCAAGAGACAAGGAGCAGCCAAGGATTAGAAGAAATAACAGCCATCGGAGAGAAATGTGGTGTGAGGAGAACCAGTGGAGAACTGGGCAGCTGTCTTGGTGAGTGACCGGCGTTAGCTACAGTTAATGTTAGCTAACGCCGGTCACATCACAACATTGTAAAGTTAGCTATCATATATCAGGCTATAACTAAAGTAGTATTGATAATATAGTAACGTTACTGGCAGGACTGTTGATACGGATCCATAACAGAAACTAATGCGCAAGTATCAGCCGTATCTCGCGTTACCTAATGCAGCTCCACACTAAGTCTTACGGTGCTGTGTACCGGAGGGGAGAGAGAGAGGAGAAAATGGGGGGAGAGAGATGTAATACGGTTTCTTGATAAACGTTTTGTTTGAGGTGCTTGTGTGGGAAATGCCAGCCCAGATCCTCTGGAGAGAGTATGTGCTGCAGGGGGGTGGATGCACCTCGCACAACGCACCCAGGAACGAAAGCTAGCTCCGGTCCTTTTCCTGTTAGGGAAACTGTGGACTCGATGTCCTGACAGGCTGGATTGGAACACAATAGCTCACCATGATTACAAATGGTGAAATGCAATGTCAAATTACCGAAAAATACCAGCTCACTAAATCACAACCGCTCAAACCAACTACCAACTATTACCGTGAATTGGGCAGAGAAGGAGTCAGAGAAAGTTGCTTCCCTATGTGACGTAATATGACGCGTTTGACGTTTAAAAAAAACAGTTTTTAGTAGCAGAGCTCAAAACAGCTACTTTCCCCTCTGGATTCCTCGTAAAACATATGAAATCCTGCATTAACTTTTTTAATTGTAATTTTCAGGCAAGGTTAAGCATAAATGTAGTTAAAAAAAAACCTGCAAGTTGCTCTTTAAGAACCCCAGACTGAGGACTATTACAGGTTATGCATTCAATCATGGCCCCAAGGCCACCTACTGGTAATAGGAAGACAGCCTTTTGTAATAACATCTGTTTTAAATGAAAATGTCATTGTGTGTTCTTCACTGTGTTAGAAAACAGCAATCAAACAAAAACAGGGAAGGGAAACAGTGGGGGAAGACACAGAAAGAAAGTGCAGACAGCATAATTACCAACAATCTTCTCTATTCTTATTACAGCCCAAACAAATAGGACATTACTAATTGTCAAATGTTTCCCAAGACACAATTTCAAGTTTAACCTGTACAGTTTGTTTTTATAAACAGTGGCTGCTTAAGATTTATGACTTTAGTTACAAAAAGGCTTCAAAGATTTAAATGTTTTTTTGTCATATGAACAAAAGCGACAGTTAAGTAGATATTATTAATGATTGAATGAATCCTGCATGCAAAACTGCAAGATTGCCAACTGTTAATGATCTACTGCAAGAGGCCAGAGCTCATGTTTAGTGTGTAACTCCACCCTTGTGCATGTCAGTTGAAACAGGACACGCTCCCTCCCCCGTTCTGCAGTGTGAGCGAGCGGTATCAAACACACATGTTCACAATACGGCACACGCCTCGTTGGCGCAGTAGGCAGCGCGTCAGTCTCATAATCTGAAGGTCGTGAGTTCGAGCCTCACACGGGGCAAAGATTTTGAAATTCATTTGAAAACAAGCATTAGATCAACAATACAGGGTCAAAACCTTTTGAAAAGGAATACAAAAAGACCCAATTGCCCATGTGATTGCTCAAAACCCCAAAACAAATCTGTAATATATTTTTAAATGGAAAATACATAGTTTAACTTTACTTATTCAAGATAGGAACAGTTCTGTGTAATCACAACATTCACTTCATCTTCCACATCAAAATCAGCTGAACATGACACTTGATCACACGCGTAAGTGTGTGTATGAAAACTGTGTCAAAACTGTCTCCTGACCCAGGGCATTAAAGCTCTTTCTTCTTGCTTTTGGAGATATGTGTGTCCTCAGTTTAGAACTACACTTTACTGACGGTGACAGCTCTTTTTATTCTTTATGCTAGTATCAACTTATTATTCTAACTTATTCTCTCAAGTTAATACAAGACTCATGGTGTCTGTAGAAAAGGCACTGCTGAGATTCAAACAGACAGGCGCTTTAACCAACTTTTGAAATGAAGTGCTAAATGCACAATATCTGAGCCTTGTGGTCATGCTTCAGTAGAGTCAAAGGACTAATGCACTGCTACTTGTGTGGTACTACACATTTCTGTTTCCATTAGCAGAAACTTGTCAAGTAGATAAAGCTGTGCTCCGGACATGCATTGCCGGGAGTTGAATCGAGGAAGCCACAGCGCCATTTCAAAATCAATTAAAAAGCATTGTTGTACTTGATAACCCCACGTCCTTTAATATACTGGATTAAATCATCAGTAACATGTTACTTTTAAAACTGAGATTCCAAAATGGTAATGCTAGTAAGTGCCACAAGTTTTTTCAGGAAGGGAGAATTATTGCAGACTACTTAACTACATGACTACCTCCTGAGATCTTATAATAACCTCTTCTGTGTATGTATCCATAGAGCACTTCACAGAACCCTTTCATGAACCCCAAGATCAAAAACTGAACCACAGAAAAGGCACTGCTGAGATTCAAACTCAGGATCTCCTGTTTACTACAGCACCCTGTGAGGGTATTATCTTGTAAATTACATCTAGTGACTACAGCTAGCTGCTCATGACACTTAACTAATCTATCTCTGGCGATCAACCGGAGAAAAAAAAATCTTCAATGATGTGCCACAACAAAGGAACACACTTTCACCGAGAATACCTTTCTGAGATCTTTTAATAACCACTTATGATGTATCTGATAGTCCCACTTGCAGGACGCTTAGAACGCTTCACAGTTACCTTGTCATAATCCCAATCTCATCTCAACCACAGAAAAGGCACTGCTGAGATTCGAACTCAGGATCTCAAACTCCAAACTCAAAGATATTCAATGATGGGAAACGACAAAGGAACACATTTTAACATCTAAGAACGTGGGACCAGGAGAGGTTTAGCCATGTTCAACTGAAACCGTCATGGTCCCAAGTATTGTCTCAGACCACAAAAAAAATACAGCATGTTACAGTTACACTATTATGAACCCTAACCTGAACCACAGAAAAGGCGCTGCTGAGATTCGAACTCAGGATCTCCCTGTTTACTAGACAGGGCGCTTTTAACCAAACTAAAGACCCCCATTTACACGGGAACGCTTGCGTTTACGCACCGAATTTGTTTTCCAAAAAGTCTTCCGTTCACACGCATTCGGCTCATTTAACGTGTCCGTTCACACGAGACCACTGGAAACGCTGTAGTACATATGCCGGGCCTGTAAGTGGCGCTGTACTTCCGCACGAGACCGCTCAAAAGCGCTGGAGACGCTGTAGTACATATGCCGGGCCTGTAAGTGGCGTAGTAACTTCCGCCACAAAATACACCAAAAGCAGTGAAGAAGACCCCCGAGCATGGTTGCCATGGTTGCCCTTCTGTTTATGCCCCGCGGTGGATTTAGCAACATGTAGTTCATGTAATTCTCCATGTCACTTGTTGCTGATGGTTGTGGTAGAGGAGCTGTAGATTTGCACTAACATCTGTAGCATGGTCAGTAGCAGTAGCCGTAGCTACTGACAGTAGCTACTGACCATGCTACAGCAGTGAGCAGCAGAGGTGGGGAGAGGCGGGGCTCTGGCTTCATCGTTATCAGGAAATGATCGTATAGGGCGAACACACTGAGCCGTTTGGCCCCCCAGAGCGTTCCGGTTGCAGATCTATCCACCTTGGGACCCATTATCGTTTGCAGGGTCCGTTTCCGTGGTTCCGTTACGGCCTCGTGTGAACGAACGGGCTATACGCGAGAGAAAAGTAGCAGATACAACCCATTTCGTTCTCGTGTAAAACACTGCCTAAGCCACAGCACCCTAATGGGCATAAAGGTGGCAGTAATCTACAGTGTAGGGACTACAAACAGCTGCCCAGGATGCATATCTAATCTATATCTGGTGATTTCTTCTTTCAACTGTTCAAACAACCCTTTTTAGTGCATTGAAAAGGCCCTATTTGGATTTCGAAATAAGTTCTCCTTTTTAGTTAGTTACATAGAAGGTGGTTAAACTGACTAAACCACAGTGCCCCATATAGATTAACCAGAGAGCCATGGGCCTGTCCATCAGGAAAGTAACTGAAATTAAAGTGATTATAATTTACTGCTAAGACTCAAATCTCCCTGTACCCAATCCATCTCACGCAACGAGTCGACCAGAGTGATACACAAACAAAAACATTACGATGGAGTACCTTACAGCTTCTTCTTGAGAATCTTACTCATTTCCTTATAAAGAATTCTTAACGTTTCATGTGTGACACAAAAAAAAGTTGCAAAATAATTGTGAAATGAACTAAAGTGACCCATTTTCAGCAGCTGCAACTGAACGTGGCAGTTATATGAGTCAACTAATACATTTGACAGTATTTAAAATTAAAATAAATAATTATATATACATTAAATATATCATTATTATATATGCAACTTTTAATCTCTGGTTCTCTCACCTAAATACATATATTAGTGACATGCTGGCCTTCTGACACTCATGTACAGCAACAATAAGCTCTGTGCTAAGTGTACTTGTGTACTAGTAAGGGCCTCTGGAACATACAATTAATGTCAACACCAGTACACACATACTGTAGATACATGCACTAACACACATCCTCACTAGGGTCTTAGGACATGTCTATGCTTCTGCAACCATGGTGACCTTGCAGCAGAAACCACATATGTAAATATGGACACCCAATTACCAGCTAGAAATATCACACACCCATCACAAACCTTTGATAGGGACAGTGTGTTTCTTATGAAAGATTGTTAACAGAAAGAACAGAGCTTTAAGATTGTATGTCTTGAATAGCTATTTCACTTTGAATGTGATCATATAAATGGTATGTTGTGTTAGTGTAGTGAGGATATATACTGTACTTCTGTTAAGTTGTTTGTCTGTGCCTTTGTACTCTTTAGACTTGCTTTTTTTTTTCACACAATCTTTATATAATGTCCTTAAAACTCTCCTCCCCCACCTCCCACCTCTGCATTTTCCCCACCCTTATCCCTTCATGTTTGCCTATTGCATTTTGCTTTCTTGCTCTTTCTTCTAACTTCTCCTTCTCTCCTTCCTGATCTCTCTGTCCCTCTCTCTCACTTTCTCATCCCTCTATTCTGCCTGGCCATCATTTGTGTGTGTTTGTATGTGTGCGGTAAAGCAGTGTCAGCATCAGCTGTGTATGAAGTAGGCAGAAAGAAAATGCCCAGATGAGTGTGTGTCTGAAAGGAAATACTTAAGTGCTTAGGAGTGGACACTAAGTGTGTGCGGGCCGAGAGAGGGAATGATCAAACATGGGAAAACAGCTGAGATCAATGGTTTACAGGGCACAGCCTGAGATCAGTGACAACAGGATAAGCAACATGAGTCACAGACAGAGATAGAGGCGGAGGAGGGAGGTCATGTTTTCACACTGCGCGATCGCCACAAGACACAATAGAGCAGATCCTCCACAGATTTTTCCTCTCAAAGACCAAGAAGGCAAAAACATTCACTA